TGTCATCAATCATGTCCCACAAACTGTCCACTAAAGTAGCCTTAAATATATGAATATGTATTTTCATAAAAGAAATCAGAATTTGTATCAGAAGCATGCACGAGGTCGGTTTAATCCTAAGGAACAATGTACTTACTAGGTTATGAAATGAAAACTAAACGAGAGGGAATACAAAGTACATAATAAGCAGAAGGCATATTATCACCAAAATAACTGCTTAGGGGATAAGAAACAACAGACAAGAATACATTATACCTCAATGAATGAGACTCGTAGTTGGAATTCAGCTTGATGCTTCAAACTATCAATCTTGTTGAACAATGCATTCATTACTTCTGGAATAAGTCCAGTTTGGCAACCATCTTTACTTCCTGTTCCCATGGTGTATGTTTTACCCGAACCAGTCTGTTGTACGCTAAAAACTATCAGATGATTTCAAGGCCTAAAAAGTTGTGAAAAGAAGATAGTGGGGAAAATTACTCAACCTGGCCATATGCAAGAACAGTGGCGTTGTATCCCTGGAACAAACCATCAACAAGTGGAGCAACACATTCTTCAAACATAGCTGATGATGGAGAACCAGTACTTCCATAGACATGATCAAAAGTGAAATAATGAGTGCCAATTTGCACCTGCAGGTCATGAGTAAGAAATAGAACTCCTTAACACATTAGAAGAGTCTTTCATATATTCTGCTGGTAGAACTTGCAGAATGAGATTTCAGTTATGACCAGGAAAATAAGTTAAGATCATAATGCCACATGCTTAACCGTGAGAATATCAAAATGTATTAAAGGAACATGGATTTTGAACATCATCTTTTGAAGCATTTTTTACCCATAATTTCAGTTAAATAATATCTTAATCTATTCGTCCAAATATCTACTACCGGACAGCTACTTTCTTGAGATCTCTTATGCGGTCATTATTCCATAGTCCACTCAATTTAGTCAGAGGAAGGGTCATTCTTCTTTGTTGCCTCCAAATGCATGTCCGTATAAAACACAAAAGCATCTTTACTGTCAATAATGAGTAGAGAAAAATAAACGTAGACGATCACACACAAATGGAAAACCTTTAGTTGCAGATTTAGAGATGCTGTGATTTTTATATGGAGATGGCAAGTAAATGTATATAGGGGTGATAAAACAAAGAAACACTAACAAAAATACAGGAAATTAAGGAATATTGGAAAATTTTGTTTTCTTGTCTTGTTGAAGATTAGTTTGCAGAAAATGGAGAAATGGATCTACTGGGCAGTGAGGTGGTCATTTTTCCTTGAAATCGTGGAGGAAAGTGACCCACCAGCCACTAATTGAAGAGAAAAATAAAAACGGAAGAGGTAAGTACTAAAAATAGTCAACTCCAAACACAAAAATTATGCCCACTGCTCAGCTAAAATGCAGTTCTTTAAAGCAAAGTTACAATGCAAATTCATGTACTTTTTTATGGAGAGAACAGAACACACGAAATCTTAGATTATGCATAATCACTTAGATCTAAAAAAACATTGAAAAATAAACAGAGATCCAGTCAAATTGGGATCAAATTGACCAACAGCCATCACAGATCTCTAACCCAATTCTCAAAAAAAAAAAATTCCAAACAAATCACAATTCACTAATTACAACTAAAAACAAATCAAACAAAAACAAGTTAAACAAGAATAAGAACAACCTGAGGTTTTCCAGGGACGACGGTGACGCAATCTTTGCATCCTTGAAGCCTCTCATCTCCGATAAGAGGCCTCACATGAACTGCAACCTTCACACAGCAATTCTTATCATCCCCATTCTCCATTATCATTCTTAATCCTCACAAAAACAATCAACCAACATAAAATCTTCACAAATTCTCAAGACCTTGATGAAATTTTTTGATGGGTTTCCCAAATTGAGCAAGAACAAGGGTAAAGGCAATCAAATTCACAAGACCCAGAAGAAAAAAACTGATGGGTTTTCCAAACTGTGCAAGAGTAAGAGCAGGAGAGAAGCAAAGAAAGCTTTTTGCAAACAAATTCTCAAGACCCAGAGACAAAAAAAAATTGATGGTTTTTCCAAATTGAGGAAGAACGAGATGGGTTGTTGAGGTTCAATGCGAAGGGGAGTTAACTGAAGGAAAAAAGAGGAGCAGCAACTACAACAACAACAACAACTGCTATCATTTTCCTTGGACTTGAGACCAAAGGGAAGGAAGAGGGTAAGTTAAGTGAGAGAGAGAGAGAGAGATAAAACTTGAA